ATTAAAAATTGCGCATTTTAGATCAAGTTTTCCTCGAATTGGTTGTATTCGTCTATGAGAACGGGCTTCGGGGCGCGTTTGAGTTGATGTTATGATGGTCAAATTCAGCGCAGACGCAGTAAACGCTCATACTCGCCCCCTAATTATATTTTCAGGAATAGGGCTTACTATAAAATATAAATAGTGTGGTACTGAAGATCAACTATTTCACGAATACACTGTGCTCTTCTAAGACAGAGGTTCCCAAACTTATTTTGTCTACTGCCCACTTTGAGAATAAATATTTAAGTATTTTTAACCCCCCCCCCCCCTTTTCGCCTATTTAAAAACTACTGTATCTTCAAATTAAATTAATTATTGTGAACTATATGAGCGGAGATATGATCTTACAAGGCTACACCTGCCAATGAAAATGATAATTGAAACGAAACTTTATAGTATTCAGACAGAGTATATTTTATTCAAAATACAACAAACATAATAATCGATACTAATATAAAAACTAATGTGAAGGATGAATCTGATGCTGTTTAATAAGTTTGTTGATAAGGTTCCAATTTACTCAAGAACAGCCACAAGCCACAGCACTAAATCCATGTTCACACAAATATGAAGATGGAACGCCATCAAGAATCGTTGAACTATCCACCACAATGCAGGGAACAATTATGTATTCATTTTTTTTAATAATTAGTTTAATTAATATATTTTTTGTCATTCTGAATAGTAACTATAACATATTAATTATATGTATATGTCAAATATCACTGCGCTACGATTTAATTTGGAAATGTGAAATTAAATAAACGTTTATTCTATATTGATTTCTACTTGTTTCTGTTTAATACCATTGTAGAAGCTAACTAATGAAATTCCAAGATCTTTGTTGTTGTTTTAGTAAGTTAGTCGTAGGTGAGAGCGGTATAATTCCATCGAGGTCCGGTAAGAAGAACTTCTTAATGCTGGAAGAGTACACATTCTCCCAGATCAATTATTATGCCTGGTGGGTTTGTTTGTCCACACACACCTATCAGTGTCCCGCGCGTGTTCGATTCAAAATAAATGCGCAGGAGCGCGGTAAAGTGACCAGAGTGAACACAGAACACACTGCCCACTGTTAATAAAATAACAATAATTTGAAATCGTCAAACACACCACAGCGATTACAGGATTACTGATTTCTTTCTCTATGAAACAGAAGTTTTGACTGATGTATCTTACTAATAGTAACTGAAAAACCGGTACAAATAAAAATTTTACGTATTTGTTATGTTGTAACATTATTTACTATTGTCGAACTCTTAACTTTATTTAAAATTATTTTGAAAAAATGCTCTTCTGTTTTAATTACGTAATGTGAGGTTAACTATTGTTACATACATAACAAATGGTCAAATTGACAAATACTTAAATTTTGCTATCGATGAAACGACAGGCCCTTAATTTTTTATATGGCAGCCTTTGTCACCACCTATCACTTTGTTTACATCTCAGCTTAATTGAATGTCAAATGTCCGGTTATCATTGAGGTATATTTATTAAAGTATTCTTGACTTACTTATGTACATATTAATATCCATATTACATGCTTCTTTTGAAGCTCTGCCATATCAATACCCAGGGCTAATGAGCTATATGTATTGTAATTCAACACTTTTGGCTTTTGGCAACTTAACGTAATGAGATTTATAAATGCATCACATGTTTCAGTGTAATTGAAAAATCAAAATTATGTATTTAAATAAAATAAAAACATAACTATAACATATTTTGCTCAGGTGAAGGCGTAGCGCTGCAGTCTCAATCAGAGGGTATATTGATCCCAACGAAGAGTGGCAAGAAATTCCTCCTCATGCTAGACGGGTACACGTACTCGCAAATTAACTATTCTACAAACTGGCTGTGCTCGTCTAAAAGAAGGGGCTGCGAGGCGCGGCTGAGCAGGTCTCATGACGGACACATTAAACGCATGCGCGGAGAACACTCGCATTCGCCGCCTAGGTATATTTTCAGGAATGGGACTTACTATAAACTGTAAATAGTGCTAATTTGAGGTCAAGTTTTCCACGAGTTGGTTGTGTTCGTCTATGAGACCGGGCTGCGGGGCGCGTTTGAGCTGATCAGACGCAGTGAATACTCGCACTCGCCCCCTCAATAAATTTTCAGTAATATTGCTCTCTATATAATATTCAGTGCGGAACGAAGATCAACTATTCCACGAATACACTGTGCTCGCCTAAGACAAACTTATTTTGTCTACTGCCCACATTAGCGCCCTCATTTTTTCACCTACTTAAAAACCACTATAACTTCAAATTAAATTAATTATTGTGAGCTATATTAGCGGAGATTAAACATTCATTCTAAACGAGACTTTTACTATGCAAGCGTTGCCTTAAGACCTGAGCGCAGTAGATAGTACACAACGGCGTTCAGGCCTCAAGTTAACTCTTACGGGCTACACCTGCCAATGAGAATGATTATTGAAACGCAACTTTATAGTATTCAAAGAGAGTATCTTTTATTCAAAATAAAACAAACAATCGATTCAAATATAAAAACTAATGTGATGGATGAATCTGGTGCTATTTAATAAGTTTGTTGATATAAGGTTCTAATTTACTCAAGAACAGTCGCGAGTCGCCACGTCGGTGACATGCAAACGATTTTTCTTTTTAGTAAGCAGCGTTGCCGCAGTTCTAAATCCACGTTCACGTAAATATGACGATGGGAATGACATCAAGAATCCTTGAACGATTGACCACAATCCAGGGAACAATTGCGGGATCGGTTTTTGTAGCCAAAATTCTTGGTAGCCATTTTTGAATTCTATACGTTATTCTTCCAGCTGTGATGATATTGATGTGTTGACATTTGGTAACGCATCCAATACCCAGTCTGTTATTTTTAAGTTCAGGATGTCCTGGTATCTTTCGGTGAAATCATTGTGCAGGTTTTCCAAATGTTGGCTGTAGGCAAACAAGTTACTGCAGGATACTGAGAAGTTCAAAAAATTGTGAAAATTACGTCTGCCCATATTCCTTTTGTGTGATGCAGTTTGGCTGCGAAAGCAGCTACGACAATTTTTTGTATTTATTAAATTAAGTTCATCGCCTTGCAGTAGGAGATTCATGTCGTATCATTCTTTGATGTAATGAGCTTGTTGCTGGAACAGGACTGATATATGAACCGAGTTAGTTTTAGCAATCTCTTAATTAATATTAGTTGATGTTCACAAGTTGTAGTCGAAAGTCGAGAGCTCAGTCAGTATCTAAGAGTCCTCCTAGAAGAAATTACAAATCGCCAAATTTTTTCTGGGTCTCTTACCTACCTCCTTTAGGCCTACAGAACCAACAAGGGGGCGTTATCGCCCACTTTGGGAAAGGTTGGTCTAGGAGAAGAGGATGCGAGACGCGTCTGAGTAGGTCTCATGACGGACACATTAAGCGCATGCGCGGAGAACACTTGCATTCACCGCCTGAGTATATTTTCAGGAATGGGACTTACTATTAACTATAAATAGCGCGGAATTCAAATCTTTGATTTCAGCCTAACTATTCCACGAATTGACCATTATGCATCTGACTAAGAGAAGGGTTATTGTCGTGACTGTGAAGTGCACTCAATCTGGTCTCATGATAGGCAAATTCAGCGCAGGGGCGGTCAAAAAGCCTTATATGATCGTATATACCTGCTGTTAAATCGCCATGTGCTTATCAGTCCGTTAGAACGTGGCTGATGATACTAAGCGAAAATCGAAGAATAGACTAGCCCCTTCTTCCTCGGACGCCACTCGGAGTGGACGTGAGTGCATAAATTCGTATACAAATAAATTAAGTTCTAAAAATTTTTCGATGCCTGAGGATTGAACCCGAGCACTGTGAGTAAGTGAGCCTGTGCATTTTGCGCGGAAGCCACAATTGCTTAGTACACCGTCTTAAAATCTTTGCGAGCGACTATGAAGATCGAGATCACACATAAAAAATATTCTATTTGGCGAGGGAATTTGTGCGAAACAACGGCTACTCCTACTGTTGGACCTTAAAGGGAATAGTTCACTTCGGCAAATCCGACGGTCTACAGCCCATTCGTATCATTTCCGAAATTGCTGTAATGGCACTGAAAAGTACAGAATACTTGGTGTACTTTTTTACAGCCATTCTTGTCATAATTTACTTTTTTTATTATTGCATGAAATTAATTATAAGGTACAAAAAAAATAGATATCGTTATGGATCAATTGAACATCATGCCGATATTTTTATGGTCCATACCTGGAAAATTTAAGGTTTCGGAGATATTGAAGTTCAAAGCCACTATTTTCTTTTTCAAGATTTATACGTTAATATTTTTAAAATGTTATTTAGAAACTTTTATCGACGCACTTACACACACGCACACACATACACACAGGTAGATTCTTTGCGTAGCACCACAGTAGCGCGCCGCGCATTGCGTTTTGGAAAAAAAATGTATTTTTTTAACTTAAAAATACAAAATGATTCCCACGTATAATATTTTGTAATATTACCTGTGTGGGTGTATAGAATGCGTAGTTTTAGTCTTTGTCATAGGTTTATACACTCTGTATATACCTGGCATTGAAGCGACAGATTCGTAATTGATAACAAACATGTTATTGTTTTATACAAGATTAGTGGTCCTGTAGATCAATCCTTTCCAACAATTTATCAAATGGTAGTTGAGCTCAAGGACCTGAAAGTATTTTTTTGTGAACGTTTCAGTCATTATAATTTATTATAATTATAATAAATATTATATATTATTATTATTATTTATTATTATTATAATTTGATCCTATAAATGACATAGCTAGCAATTTAGATCTAGTTTCTGTGTCTGATGTCCACAGTAATAACGCCGAAGATTGCCAAGAACTGCTTAAATTTAATCAAATTAATTTAAATATTATTACACAAAATATACGCAGTTTTCCTCTAACCTTGATTCTTTCCTTGCACTTCTTAGCCCACACAATAAAAAATGAACTATGATATTATTGTCACAACTGAGTGTTGGCTTTCCAAAAATCCCTATATACCTACTTACTATAAACGGTTTCTCTTTCCAAAAATCTAGTAATCCTTATAACTGAAACGATGGAGTCACACTTTATATAAATAATGAAATTTCTAACGTTACTGTCTTTGAACCTCACTTTGAGGATGCTAGTTGCTTAATAGTGAAAATTGGTTAGTAATTGATGGCAGTAATAGCCATCTATCGCCCCTGTGAATTTATTAATACCCCCAACTTCTTTCGATTCGATCACTAGAGAAAATACTGGTGTCAATTCTGGCGTGATTCTCTAAACTTAAAACTAAATTTAACATCAGTCTCACCTTTTCATTCTGTATCGAGAAGGACAAGGATGGACTGTTGTCAAATTTAAGTTTAGCTTTAGAGAATCATGCCAGAATCGACATCACTGTATAGTTTGAGATCAGTTCAGCATATCGTTCATACGGGAGACATTAATATAGACATAGTTCCATCAACTCTTGTGAAAAAATATTAGAATATCTTAACCTCCTTGCAGCAAACGGAATTCTATCCCACACCTTGCCTACTCGAAATAATACCTGTTTGGATTATTTCTGTATAAAAACTTCTTACCCAGCTACAACACTAATCGTTAATTCATCTGTAACTGACCTTTACGCTCTACTCCTCTCTCTAAAAAGTAAAAAACATACTAGTACTACTAACACTTTGAACAAAATTAACCACAAAATGTCATCAGATGAGATCTCAAAATACGACTTTTCTCCTGTTCTTACTTCTACTGATGCAAAAGTAGCTGCCGAGACCTTAACTGATGCTCTACGTGTTTTAATACAGAGCAATACTACCACCAAGTTCTTACCTTAATGTAAAAGACCTATATGGGCCTGGATTAAGCCTGGTCTATTAAGATTTATTAGAAATAGGGATCGCCTACACAAGAAGTTTAAAAAATCTCCTGAAAATGAAACGCTCAAATCTACTTACACCAGATATCGCAACTTCCTTGCCACCTTGATAAAAAAAAATCAAAAGAGCCCATGGATCTTTTGCGTAAGGCTGGGAAAAACAACTAACGTCCATGGGAGTAAAAGATGTATCATGCCTAAAAGAAGTTGTCACTCGTCGGATGTTCCGAAGAGCTACCTGATAACAGATCAGGTAGCTCTTCGGAACTGGCTCTTGATGAAACCAATAAATACTTCATAAATATAGGAACAAATTTTGGAAGGTCCTTAACCGGCGCACGCCTGCTTCCGATGCATGGGAAGGGGGCACGCGGCCGCTAGGTGCCTGGTGAAGGAGGACCGAAGAAGAAAGGATAAAAAATATAATATATGTATTAGTGTAAACAATAAACTTATTTATATTATATGTAAACATGTTAACTATTTATGATGTGCTACAGCTATAAATTCTGCGCTCGGCGTGTTCTAGATACAAAGTACACGCTGACGCTACACAGTAATCTGTGGCTACACTATCAACAAGCTCTCCGTTTCTTTGGTAAAACAACAATTTTATTATTCCAAACATTTGCCAAAATATCTTGACTGTTTCGATAGTACGATATATATCTAGAATAACATAGTGAGCTTGGTATAGGTAATTATGGTGTAATATTGACTATAATAAGATATCGTAAAATTTTGTATAATTTTAAAGGTAATTTGAATGCAGTGCTTTAATAATATTTACACAATGACTGCAATATTTTATGGGATAACTAACCTACTCTGGTGCAACTCGCATTATACAAGATGTCCCAAAATTTTACCACAGGGAATGTGGTTTGGTTCCTTTTTAAAATAATAATGAAGTCTTCCTTCAGCAAATCTACAGTTATTATGGTATTTTCTTCCGTGTGGCAAAGTTTTACGACAACTTGTATATATTATTAATAAACTCCAGCGTCACCAACTTACAAAAATACCGAACCGAAAGTCTGTAATCACTCAGTCACAACTAAAATAGTGTTGTACACCGCAATTGAAATATGTAAAATTGTTACCCAAAACGCCTATTGTTACATTTTTGTAATATATTTTCATGTATTATTTTTTTTTTAATAATTAGTTTAACTAATATATTTTTTGTCACTCAGAATAGTAACTATATCATAATAATTATGTATGTAAAATAGCACTGCAGTACGATTTATGACCTTGGAAATGTCAAATTAAATGAACGTTCATTCTATATTGAGTTCTACTTGTTTCTGTTTAGTACCATTGTAGCTAACTAATAATATTCCGAGATCCAAAGGTTTTGTTGTTGTTTTAGTAACTACTCGATTTGTTAACTGTGTCGTAGGTGAGTGCGTTATAATTCCGTCGAGGTCCGGTAAGAAGAACTTCTTAATGCTGGACGGGTATGCATTCTCCCAGATCAATTGTTCTGCCCGATGGGTTTGTTCCTCTACACACACCAATCAATGTCCCGCGCACGTTCGATTCAAAATAGATGCGCAGGAGCGCCGTAAAGTGACCAGAGTGAACACAAAACACACCCACCCCCCACCCAAGTATGTTTGGAGAAACGGCGGGTATTATGAATGTTAGAATATTTCATATACTCGTACTATTAAATAAACCTATGGTTGGTGGACAGTGGCGGACGAGTAAAGCGTTAACGACGATAATGTAGGAGAAGGAGATTCGTAATAAAACACTGTAAATATATAACAACAAGTTGTTTCTGTACACTTCACAAAATTGTTTAAATATCAACTATTATTCATATGATTTTAGTGCTTTAAAAATATTTACACAATAATTGCAATTCTCTATGGCATTAGTATCCTTCGTACAACTCGCATTATACAGGCTGTCGCAACATTTTGCCGCGTGGATGCAAAGTACCTTAAATACTTTACATAAACAGTTTATATGAAAGAAGACTTCATTTTAATGTTAAAAACGATAAGAACTGCATTCAAAGAATTAAAACAATCTCCCATCCAATTTTTTATTAACTTCAGCGTCACCAACTTACAAAAGTATATACCCCAAACCGAAAGTCAAAGTATAAAGTCACTATATCACATCAAACATAGAGTTGTACACCGAAAATGAAATATGTAAAATTGTTGGTCAAACTGCCTTTTGTTAATTTTTTGTAATATTTTTTATGTATTCATTAATTCATCAAAATTTGTTTGATTAGACATATTGTTTGTCAATTAAATTAGTAAGTGTAACACAATAATGTATAACATAGACTAATGAACTTTTGGTTGGTGGACAGTGGAGCACGGGTAAAGCGTTAAACACGATAATGTAGGAGAAGGAGATTCGTAATAAATGTAATAAAATAAATGAAAATATATAATGTAATTATGTAAGTATCACTGCACAACGATTTATGAGCTTGGAAATGTAAAATTAAATAAACGTTCACCTATGTTGAGTTCTAGTTGTTTTGTATAGTACTGTTGTAAAAGTTAACTTAGGAAATTCCAAGGTACATAGGTTTTTTGTTGTTTTGTTACTACTTGATTTGTTAACTGTGTCGTAGATGAGTGCGTTATGATTCCATCGAGAACCGGTAAGAAGAACCTTTTGATGCTGGACGGGTACACTTTCTCCCAGATCAACTATTCTTCCCGGTGGGTTTGTTCGTCCTCGCGCACCCATCAGTGTCCCGCGCGCGTTCGATATGGGATAGATGAGCAAGGGCGAGGTAAATTGACCAGAGTAAATACAGAACACACTCACCCTCCACCTAAGTATGTGTGTAGAAACGGCAGGTATTATAAATGTTAAAATATTTCATAGACTCTTAAATGAACTCTTGGTTGGTGGTCAATGGCGGACGGGTAAAACGTTAAGCATCTTAATGTAGGAGAATTGTAATAAGTAATTAAACACTGTAAATATATATCAACAAGTTGTTTCTGTACATTTCACACAACTAATTAAATGTCAACTATTTCAGCGATTTGAAGAATAATACTCAGGTGCCTACTCGATTTTGGTGTCAATGAGGATTCGTAACGATTTGAATTGAGAATGCAGATTTATAAGACTAAGGATTCCATAAAATACAGTAGTTAAATTTTTATTCTATGACAAATATTGACATAGTTATGACCAAATTACTACACGAATTTTCGGCTGGCCGCGTGGTGGCTGTGACGTCGCAGAGCTCTAGCGCTCGTAGCGAGCGTGCGTAGAGACACTACTGAAGTTTGAGCGGAGTGAACCATGCTCGAGCTCTGTGGCGTCACACGTTTCAGCTGCCGGTGAATATTGGCTACTTTAAAATTCGTTATAAAATTGCAACGAATGAGCCGATTTCGATGATTTAAAAAGTATTATAATTAAAAAGCTTATTAGATCATTATACTGTTGATTTTGAGTTGGTTTGCTGACCTAGTAATGATCATCATTGTCTGCGTTTATAACTTTAAATTTCTTGACACTTAACTACGTACATTCCAGACGTGCGGTTCATACCTACGGAAAAGGGGAAATATATATTGGTGCTTAAAGGCTACACGTATTCACAAGTGGGAGGCAGGTTCTTCTACTGTTCTTCGAAGCACACGGGGTGTAGGGCGCGAGTGCGTCTTATGTCGGGACAGCTTGTTGCTTCGGGGGATGCACATAATCACGCGCCGCCGTCGCACGCGCGGTGTGGTAACGGCGCCTTTGTCCAGCTGCGTCCGCGCAGCCAAGTTCTCTCACCGGCGCCTACCATTCTTCCGTCCCCTCTCACCTCTCCCAGCGCAGCTGCACTCGCTATCCACGCCCTAGGCTTCCCAAGGTTGCTACCCAAAGCGGATCTGTGGCTTCGGACTCCCAATCCTGAGGAGAAGAAAGACATTTAATCTAAATCTGCTTGTAATTTAGCAATAATCATGGCATCATAGTTGACAACATATCTAAAGGTAAAAAATGTTCATTTTCGTAAAATAATATAATATAGACCCTATAGAAAATTGATCTATGGGATTGATCAACGACAATATTGCTATTTCAGTATAGGTATTGTCTAATGTTTGTGATAATTTATGGTAGGTATTATTGTTGACATGTGTCAATGTTCCCGTCCACAGAATATGTGTGTTTCATAAAGATCTGTTGTCAATTATATACCATTAAATAATAAAGTTCTCAAAAGTAGAATTATTGTTAATGTAAGTATGAGTAGACTATCGAATAGCTTACCTGTTGATCTCTTTTGAAATCTTTGTATAATACCTTGATTAAAAAGCTGTAGGTATACTGCCTTAATTGAAAACCTATATTGTTTTCTCCAAAGTACTCTCTATTGATTGCCATGATCGATCTGTTATAAATGTTAAACTACAAAGATGAAATAAGGCATTTCAATGACAATAATTGAAACAAATAACCGATAAACTACAATCAGACCCCTATTTCACCAAGTCGACATATGTAAGCAGACAGTTTGTGGTGGAGTGATTTATTCACTGCACCGATTTCATTAATTAAATAATGTTCTATACTGGTTTTGCTTATGCGGAATTTTTCTTTGAACGCAAAATCATTGATATTAAAGTAGAAATTTATTCACTATGTTTGAAAATTCTTTGTCAAATGTGTCGACTTAAAAAAATTAGATACGGACTTCATTAGAGATACAGACAATTGTAACAAGAGACCTATCTTTTTTAAGTACTTCTGAAAATAATTCACAAAATTGTCACTTATCACATATGTCAAGTTGGTGAAATAGGGCCCAGGTCTGTTTGGTGGTAGTTCCTAAAACTTTTTGATCTAGGTTTGTTTTTCGACAACTATGCTGAATATTAAGCTTTGCCTACGGTGATATGATATATGAACACGATACGTAATTTGGTGATATTTGATATTATTATGAGCCTTATTATATGTTAAATATTAAGAATCCTACTTATATTATTATGTTTGTAAATAAAATATTGTTTTGTATTAAAAATACTCCATTATTAATTATACAATGCTTAATTGAACAGACTGTGTCTTTATTTTCGCAATTACAAACTTATTACGGATTTCAGCAAAGATCTAACCCAGACAAGACACTCGATATAGTGCCAGCTCCCCTACTATCATGATTAGTTCAGGGATTGCGATGTATGTTGCCAAGCTCGTATATATATATGTATTTGAAAAATTGTAAAGTTATTACGGATGCTTAAAATTTTAGATTCCTGTCAGCTTATTTTAAACTGAAATCAGGAAAATTAAGTCTACAGCAGGCTTCATTACGATACGGAATACCTAAATCCACCCTTTACAAACGCGTACGTGTTGGGAAACTGGGAAAGCGTTCTGAAAAACGTGCGACACTTAGCAAACAACAAGAGGGGCAATTTGTCAATTATTAAAAGTTATTGAAGCTTGTAAAACGCTTACCTACTAAATGGTACGGAGACAAGTATATAATTTTTGTGAACAACACGATATCTATTACAATTTTTATAAGAAATCTAAAGATGCGGGAATAGATTGGTGTCGTGCTTTTCTTATCACAAATCCCAATATGGGGGAAATCATTGTATCTATGAGAAAATTCTTTTAAGATGCCTAAAAGACAAATAATTTCTCTTGTTTTCACGCACATCATTTGTGAAATTGTTATAAAAATCTATTTTTGAAGGCATATAAAGCGCGTTATTATTATTTTTTACATTATTCTTGACGTATCTGACCCTCTAAAGGCTCCGTGGTTGTAAGATACTTTTTTATTTGCTCAAACATCCCTGGAAATATGAGCATTATTTTGACAACTTTCCGCTCGAAGATGAATCGGAATTGTTTACTGGCCGAATACATCGGCAAAGGTTGTAGGAAAATCCATATCTGTCTGGTTTATACATGTCGGGGTTTAGCGGCCAAATAAATAACACGGTAAACTCATATCTCTCGTGTTATTTTAAAAAGAAACGACCTATTGCTTAGCTATCTTCTAAAATAAAGTTCAGGTTCGTGTCCGATAAATATTTTAGCTAAGTATTAAAAGAAAAGCTTCCTCTTTTACCCTTGAAACCTTATATGCCTTCGAGGCGTACACACAATATAAAATTCTATAGCGTCTTACGCTGATCTGATCAGCAAACTCCGCGGCGATGGGAGCTAGCCAATAGCACGGTAATATTATATTACCGTGCCAATAGTGCCTCTGCAGTTTAAGGTAAGGCCCGCCATTTTAAAATTATTAAGGTGTAGTACGCTTGAAAGACGTATGCTAAGGCTTCATTTATTTTATACCTACTAAATTTTATTTATTTATTTAATCTTTATCACCATAAAAACAGTAAATGGCCGAATGGCGAGTGGTGGTGTAAGCGACGAAATGTTATGGCGATAGAATATGAGCTACGAAGTAAGCATCAATATAAAAACAATCTACTACTTAACTATACTATAACAATAATAAATAAAAAATACACATTATACCTATACATATACTTATACACATATATATTCATAAATAAATATATATTGATAAATAAATAAACATACACTGGTATCGATTCTGGCGTGATTCTCTAAACTTAAAACTAAATTTAACATCAGTCTCTCCTTTTAATTCTGTATAGAGAATGAGAAGGATACACTGTTGTCAAATTTAAGTTTAGATTTAGAGAATCATGCCAGAATCGACACCACTAAAGTAGTAAAAATAAAAATGATGATATTATATAGAAGACTACAGATTAAGAGAAAAATTAGGTTGTGAGATAATTACACGAACTACTTTTTTGAAGTTTAACTAACTACGTGCTCTGGGAATATTCAGTGGCAAAACACTCCAAAGACGTATAGCTGTAATGGTGAAAGATTTGGAAACGAAACCAGAATTTTAAAGATTTTGTTTTTTTTTGTGTGTATTTAACATTTATAGATTTGTTTCAGATATCTTCAAGTCTGATAGATTAAACGCAAAACCTTGGATGGAGACGAGACTCAAAGCCTCGAGTTTAAAGAGATCATTACGAGAAAATATTAGTCAAATTCTCGTAAAACAAGCTGATACTGAACTTATGCCTAAAAAACGTAAATACTGCGCTTATTGCTCATACAAAAAACGGCGGATGTCCAAGTTAGTGTGCTATAAATGTAAAAAGTCTGTTTGTTGCGAGCACAAAATTGATCTTTGTGTAGAATGTTCCGAACTTATAGCTAGTTATTAAAAGAATGATTCAATTTAATATAAATTATTAACATAAAATAAATATTCGATTGCTTTAAAAAAATATATATTTTAGTTCAGTTTTGAGAAGTAGATTATTTGGTTAAAATAGAAGAGCATTTTTCTATATGTTATAGAAATAGAACTAGATTAAAAGTCCAAGAAAGGAAGCTCAAAAATAGCAGAACATTCGCAATTTTTTCGTCGTGCAGCGTTTTGCATAAAAATTTGGAATTAGGCTCATCTTACCTTCTATATCAAAACCTTTATCATGCCGATGGGCGCTGCTTGTTTTTAAGGATGAAATGTACCCCAAATTGATAAAAGTTATAAAATAACATTAAAAATCTTAAGATGGGTTAAACTTTATAGTCATAGTAGGAGATAAGTGCGTATAATTATATAAGTAAGCACATTCAACGCGCAATTTGCTTCGTTTCGTTATTGAGATTCGTTCGGAGTGGAGCAATAATAGCGTAGTTAAATGTACATATATTTTTATATATTAAGTATAATTTAATATATCTTTATAATTTAAGAAATATAATTTAATATATAATTTTATAATTTAATATATATTAAATACACGTATCTCTCTCTTTGGGAAATCCACTTAGTGGTACGAAATCAGTGTGAGTGAATGATTTGGAACACTCGTGCCAGTAAAAATTTAACAACAGGAGTTGATTCAACTCTTACTAGAAACCTAATTTATCGTCGGCATATTTAGCATATCAGTGATTCAATCAAGTTTCCCGTTTTTAAGAGTAGTGTTTTAAAAGCAATTGATAAAACTTTCAGTCGACGATATCCCACACGATGTGATAGAATAGAGATGACGAAAAAAAAAAATTTTTTTTTCATAATTTGTTCTACTATCTTATCGGCGTGATCGATATACATATCTCCACAAAATTACAGTTCTCTGCTGCTAATAGTCTCCAAGCAAAACTGGGGACGGACAGCAGTGTTGCCAACTTGGATTTTGAAAAAGTCGTA